GATTGCTGAATTTATGTATGGGCCCAAATTAGGGACACTTAGGCCGACATAACATACATTTCCCCTACTTAAGCATGGGATTAATTCATACCTAAGCTTGTATTTCGATTTTTTTGAGAAATAAAAATCTCTGGTCACGTCTTCCTTCGTAAGGAACGTAAAGCCGTTGGTCCCGGCCCATGTGTGGGTGCGATATCCTACGCAGTTGTGGAAGCTGCCTTCCTGCACATTCGATTGCCGTCAATGGATGTTAACACATAAATTAACACATAGTGAACATGTTCAAAGAATCATTGAATAAAATTGTGAAAATTATAACATCGCAACGGAAACACGAAAACGTTTCGATGACAAGATCCATAAAATCGTCACTAAATACAATAACAAGTAGCATGAAGCAAATCGCACGACAGAGCGATTTGAGTCATCTTTTCAGAAGGGCTTACTGGAGAATTTGACACCGAGGAATTTATTGAACAGAAGCAATATGTTGCCTCAACCTCTGACGCCAGAACAAAACGTGGACGACCTTCAAAACTTTTCTCGGACTTGAGCGAAAGAGGATAACGTCCCATCATAGATAATTAATCAGTTGATCCCAAAGTTGACATCATCAAAAAAGCTTCATTATTAGCAAGACGGACCACTTATAATCGAAAGGATCTGAATTTAGTGAAAGTTATTGGGCATGTATTAAAAAATCAAACTAAAAACCTAAAATAATACTGACTCAATTAACTGATCAACGGGGAATGACGTCAGCAGCAGATCCTTTAGTGTACTTATTGATGCTGAATTAAGTAGATTTCAATATGAAGTAATACATAGCGACACCTTCAAGATTTCCACCTTACGATGTGATATGTGCCCATCCTAGTGAATTCATCGAAGGAAGTGCATCGAAAATAAGAGTGAAGCTGCAGGCGCTGTTAGAACAGATAGAATCGTTAAAATATTTGAAGCAGAACTCAACGAGTATATGGATTGCAACGATCTTGATTCTACAGAACTGGTTCTTCTATGGACGGATCAACTGGATGTTCGCAATATCATCAAAAACTATCAGAAGGATGTCAGGATGATTCAGACATATTTTCGTCAACTTTAACACCGATTCAGTTGTTCATGCACAACGATCGAAAGGAAATTATATGGTTTAATCCTATGCCTCAAAATATTCGATTTTGTAGGCCATTCATACTTGAAATTGTGAAAGAGAGTAAAGAAGTAATTCTTGCTTCAAAACAAGATGTAGAAGAAAAAATGAGTGAATTAACGCCAGTGAAAGTTGAATTCTCAAACGACAAGTTTATACTTGGTGATTTCAATGTTGTCCTCAGTATGTTCATTCAGTTTTCATTCGTGCCAGAATTAATCGGACCCATGATCATTTCCATTTGGATGGCAAAAAGACGACAGAAAAAGGTGTTTCTGGATTATCCTGACATCATGAAGAATTTCATGATATTTTGTAAGCTGTTCAATAACTGATACTAATAACTGCAATGCATTTGAGGAACTTATGAAAGTTGGCGATGAAATTGAATAAGATTTTGTTCATGATGATATTGTAACAGAATAGAGAAATTCGTCAAAAATATATTATTTCATTGTAATTGTTACACTATACCTTATTGTATTTCTTATGTACAACATATCTATTCAAATAAATAACCATATTTCCAGAATCAAATGTAAATGTATGTTTTTACTTTTTAACGGTGTACTTTGTATAAATCCAAGTCAAGAGGAACATGTGAAAATGGCCTATCAGATTTTCATAAACAAACCTTTGTATGACCCTCTCGTGCCAACCGAAGGTCGCCCACGCAAACCAACAAAGTTATCGGATAGAAGAAACATTCCCCTTCCTTTAACTGATAGACCCTTTTCCCATGTTATGCATGAATTGTAGGTTGTCTTTCTTTTATAGATTTTATTTTCTGAAATTTAATATTGAATTTAAAACAATAAAAAGTTAACCTCTTTCAAAAGGATCTTGTTTTTGAATTCTGATGTTATTTAATGTGTCCCATAATAGGTTTTTTGTCCAGGCCACTTCCTCGGGGGTTCCCGGAACATAACCGGATGCAGCCAATGTGGTTCAAGGCACTTGGTTTGGCTGTCGTTGATCCTAGCCAGAAACTGGACACTTTTTTGGAGGTAGCCGGAACATGGCGGGATGTGGCCAAGGTGTTCCTAGGAACTCGGTTTTGCTGTCATCAGGGCTCTGCATTTACGAAGCTCTAAAATGAACTCGAGTTTTGTTTCTCTCATATGCTTTGCTTTAAATATATATTTTAATTTTCCGTCATAAACGTCATGAAACCTCTGTTGATATGTTTCATCAAAGACGAAAATATGAAAGTCGAGTGCTCTTTCGCTCGTCCGTTTCAGCGAAGCTTGAAAGAAAGACCAATGGAGCAACGGGAGAAAGAGAGACAAGCGATTGAACATTTGTTTGTGCACGCCGACTGAGGTTTTAGAATGCTGCGAAGATGCTTGACTCTAACAGAAAAAGAAAGCCAGCAGGCTGCAGAGGCTCTTTGTCGCGTCGATTTGGTCTATTGAAGCTGATATTGTGACGCCCTGGCTGTCATTGATCTTGTTTTTGAATACTAATGTGATTTGATGTGTCGCATGATAGATTTTGGTCCTAGTCAGAAACTGTCCACGTCCTCAGAAGTACTTGGAATATGGCTGAATGTGGCCAATATGGTCCTGGACTGCCAATTTGGCTGGTTTGTTTTTGAACTCTCATATAATTTTTATGTCACATGATTGGTTTTGGTTCTAATCGGGAACTGATCACTTCCCTGGAAATACCCGGAACATATCCAGATGTGGTCCTGGGAACTATATTTGGCTATCAATGAACTTATTTTTGTATTCTTATGTAATTTGAAGTTTCGCATGATGGGGTTGCCATCTGAAGGACATTAAGCGTTTAGAATCAGGTTGTAAGTTGCTGTTGTTAAAATAATAATCATTACTATTCATAGAGCATTTCCTGGTCAAATAGCAAAAACAAATTGAATTTCAAACTCGAACTTCTCAGATTTTGATGAATCTTTGCATGATTGGTTGCTACGGTAAATCTTTACCATTTGGACTAAAATTCAAAGCATAACTCCAAAACGTCACATCCAGTTTGGTTAAAAATCGAAAGAAACCATTGCTGGCCTTTTACAAGACCTTTCAGAATTTTGTTCGGGTTTTGTTAGGTAAACATACTTTTGAATATAAAAAGCAATAAATGATCCATAGCAAATTTTAATACGATCCTTAAAAAACACCCAAATGATCCATAAAATCCCACTGAAAATCCCTAAATAAGTGTGAATGAACCACAAAAATATCAATATGATCCATATTTTATGTAAAATTTAGCAACACAATTGTAAAAATGTACCGCTAAATTACTAAAGAATGAGCATTGAAATTATATGAATTACCCATAAATATATTGAAAATGATCCTTAAAACATTCAGCAATGAACCTTAAACTAATGAAAGTGATCCATAGAAAATTAAGTTTGCGCACTTAAAAATATATTCATGATCCATAAATTAGACACATATTGTTCATGTTTTGGACACAAACTTTTTAACCCTTTAAAAACTGCACCATTACTACGTAGCTACTTAGATTTACTGACATACCACTGTTTTTTTAGTTAGAAGTGCGAAGCGACGGGTAAGCGTCTAGAATTACCTTAAAGAAAGCTTCTATAATAATCTTCTTTACACTCCGAACATGATGCCTCTGGTAAAATGGGTGACGGCAAACTTTTTTATTTATTAACGAATTTGAAATCAATGGGCCCCACTTGAAATTACAGACTTTAAAGATTTATTCGACATCAATAGGTTTAAAATCTATTGCTAAATTGCTGAGTAATAATTTTTAAAACATTACCAATTTTCCGTTACACATGGAGGCATCGCGTTCGGAGTGTTAAGAAGCTTCCTATGGATATTTTTTAGAAGATTCTTTTAGATGCTTATTCTAGATGCTCGCCCTTCGCTCCGCTCTTCTAAAAAAACACGGGCAGAACAGTAAACCTGAGTAGCTCCGCAGTAATAGGTTTATTGCTGAATGGCAATATGTTTATGGGTAATTCGTGCAATTAAAATGCTCATTCATTGGAAAATTTAGGGGCACATTTTTACAATTATGTTGCTAAATTTTACATAATATATGGATCATTTTGATATTTTTAAAGAACGTTTTTCAATATTTTATGGATCGTTTTATCATTTCTAAAGGTACATACTTAGGGCTACCTTTTGTTAGGAGTCGTCCCACTATGCAGTAATCCAGGGTGGGAATTTATGAGGTAATCAGTCTTAGAATATTTGTGTTTTTCGTGAAGTTTTTGTGTTTAAAAATTTCTTTTGGTGGTTGTAAGCATTAGGGTGATCTACACATTTAGATTAAAAAATTAACTTTTTTATTTTTGGAAATAAAGGCATATTTTTTTTTTCCTTTGGTTTGTTTTTTCCGTCGGTCGTGTTTTCCGTGCTGAGCACCAATGCTACCGACGTGCCAGGAAGGCAGCTCCCTAATGCTTCATCCTAAGTAGTGCACAGCTGTCTCGCCATCTTCATCACAAATCAAACTCCCAGTACGTGCCAAGGATAAATCCTGCACTGTTGCGATCATCGATTTTATCGCAAACAATTGCAAGCAAATTCATATGCACGTATTTCTCACGGCAAACAGCTCAAGATTTTAACGCATGTTTGCACTCATCTAACCAACCAAGTGTAAAGCATGTAACGCTCGAACTCATCATCTACCGCTCCATAGCATCAGAAATCATTTTGTCAATAGTACGTGCTCGATGCATTATGCAAATGTATTTCACCTGTAAACGAGTAATCTTGCCTCTTTCTTTCTTTCCTTCTAAGCTAATCCCCAAGGCGACCACCCATTCCATAAAACCCAACCATTGATGTAAGCTTAGAAGATAGCTCTTCTCACTGTTGACACATACCGGAAAAAGTGAAACGAGGCCAATCTCCTACTGCAGTACGGTGGCGGCCCTTTCTCCAAGTGTGGCAGCACGGCGTGAAGTATTCAAAATATTATTTGTTTGTATTTTCTCCAAGTGCAAATAACATGGTAATAAAACTCGGTTATTCACTATGTTTTATCCACACGCTCTTCAGTGTAGACAGCCAGGACCGAATATACGATGAGACCGGGCAAGGAAAGTACACTTTTCACCGTTTTTAACACACCGTGTGTTTTAATTTTCCGGCTTTGCTTATTTCTCCTGTTTTACACTTGTTGGTTGCACACCTTTTCACCATTCACAAAAAAAATAATGGAACTGTAGCACGTTATGGTTCCGCGAATGGAAGAAAAAATGATTTATCCTGAAAATCCACCACCAACGAAAAAGCTTTCGGGGATGTGTCGTGATTTAATCCTTGCTAAAGGAAAAAATATCCTCTACTCTTCTCTGTTTTCCACTTCAGCGAGGGATTCTATTGAATTCTTAGTCCTAAGCACCCCCACAGGCTTGCAACACTGAGAAACGATGAACTTTTGCGCGTGTCGAAAGTCTCGCCTTCGAAGGAGATAGAAAAAAAAAACTTCCTCCCAAGAGAATTATGAACTTCTGAAAACTCGCACCATTCGGAAGTTCCTCAACAAGTGCGTATAGACCGGATGAAGTTGGAAAGTTTTACCCGACAAGAGCAAAAACAAAATCACACACTGCATTCGCCAGAACACGTACCTCTACATAGAACACACACGGCAAGCAAAGATCGCTAATAAAAAGACACAACCGTACGCCACCCCGCACCGATGAACAATGAATCGAGCCTTTGAATCGCTGCAGCATAGAAATCACGTTGACCCGAAGGTTCTGCATCTCCAAAGCTCACTTCTCACCTCATGGCTACACGGGAACAGTCTCCTGCCCGAGCATAGGGGTTCTCTTTTGACTCCATGCTCTCGCGAGATGGAGAGAGTAACCTGAACACCATGAGGGATCGGATCCTACACCGTCGTCAGTTATGCCGTGTACGGTTATGTTGTTGGAGCATAGCATACATGAGTGAAGTAAACAGAGAGTATATTGTCGATGGTTTTCGCGAGCTATCACGGGAGCACTGTGCAAGCATGTTAGACTTATCTTTAATTTGTTTATTATGTTGCGAGCTTCTTAGGACATAGCCTGTCCTTTTGTAGATTATGATAGTTGAGATAAAATTTGCATTGTGTGATTAACATATTGATCTCATATTATTTTCTTCAGGTTGAAACTTTGGTTGCCAATACTCATCTCAGATGGAAAAAAATGATCATCGGGTTTATGAAATTATCAAAACATCTATATTATAATTTATTATGATCATATTTGTTTTAGTAATATGCAAGAGGAAGTTGTATGGTATGTATTTGACACATAAAATCTATTAATTTCACTTCCTGAGAGTCGTAACCAGAAATTTTATTAAGTTTCATTCATTCATTCAATTAGCGATCCTATACTCCAACAACATAAACGTGACCTTTTTGTAAATTACTAGTAAAACAGAATCTATGACAAAAGGTCGAAGGATAAAAAGGTCGAATGTACAAAACGTTCGATTAGACCTTAGAGGGACAAGGGAGCTTTTTTAACTTTTTTTCTAAAAGTTCCGTTCAAATTCCGTTAGAAGCTACTTAGAATGATTTTTCTACCGGAAATTAAAAATGAGGCTGCTTAGAATTCTATAGACCAAGCTGCATAAGCCACAAATAGCCTTTTATCAGAACTTTTTGTTACTTGGGTCGCCTCCTCCATGTTCCGTCATCCATCTGCACTCCATCGTAGATGGTACGCAACACCTTCCGTTCGAAATCACCAATGGCGCGTTGGTCCTCCACGACCATAGTCCAGCTCTCATGGCCGTAGAGGACCACCGGTCTAATCAGCGTCTTGTAGACAGTCAACTTCGTGCGGTGGCGAATTTTATTCGACAGGAGCGTCCTTCGGAGTCCAAAGTAGGCACGATTCCCTGCCATAATGCGTCTTTGAATTTCTCTGCTGGTATCATTTTCGGCGGTTACCAGTGATTCCAAATACACGAACTCATCGACCACCTCGATTTCGTCACCGTCAATCTGAACTCGGGGTGGGAGGCTAACATTGTCTTCCCTAGAACCTCTTCCTTAAATGTATTTTATCTTTGATGCGTTGATGGCAAGTCCAATCCGCCTAGCTTAAGCCTTCAGTCTGGTGTAAGGATCCGCCATCGTCTCAAAGTTCCGTGCCATGATGTCAATGTCATCGGCGAAGCGAACTCTCTTGCAAATGGTGACAGGCGGCGGCTCAGCAGTGTGATCGCGCGGTAGTTGCAGCAATCCAACTTGTCGCTCTTTTTGTAGATTGGGCATACGACACCTTCCATCCACTCCTCCGGTAATATCTCCTCCTCCCAAATCCTGGCAATTACCCAGTGCAGCGCTTAAGCCAGTGCTTCACCACCGTATTTTAATAGCTCACTTGGTAGTTGATCTACACCACCCAGATAACCAGAAGTCGTATAACAATGTACAGACAGTATCTTTAATTGCTACAGTTTATGTCAAAATTGCATATAAAAATGGCATACCTCGCATTATGTTTAAGTTAAATCGTATAGAATGCGAATTTCAGACTAACATGCAATGACTCATTTTTCCGTCGTACTGTATCACAAATTAAATCGGATTACATCGTAAGACTATTTTAAATGAATTTGTTATTACAGATTAAATGGTATTTGATGTTAAATAAAAAAAAATAATTAATATATGCACGTATATGACCTCCACTTTTGTACGTATAAGCCATTTTTTTGCATGCTATACGAATTGTTTGTTTGTATATATGTTTGTATATCAAGAAACCAATTTTGAATACACGTGCATTCTGGTTGTCTGGTCAGTTGCTTTGTTGTTCTTCAGCCGACCGATCTTCTCCTCAATTTCTTGAAGATCAGGGGCCGGTAGCCTGTCGTCTACTGCGCGTGCTCCAAGGTCTGTTGCCGTGCCACCTTCATTTTCTGCTGCTTCACCGTTGAGGTGCTCGTCATAGTACTGCTTCCATCTCTCTATCACCTCACACTCGTTCGTGAGAAGCTTGCCGTCCAAGTCCTAGCAAATATCGGCTTTCGGCACGTAGCCTTTGCGCGAACTATTTAGCTTCTCGTAGAACTTCCGTGTGTCGTTTACACGGTACAGATTGTCCATCGCCTCGCTATCTTGGTCTTCCTGCTGACGCTTCTTCCTTCGGCAAACCGAGTTTTGACTGTTCCACGCTTGTCTGTATCGCTCCACATTCAATATCGTGCGGTGTTGCAGCATTCTCGCCCGTGCTGCATTCTTCTCCCCTACTAACAGTTTGCATTCGCCGTCAAACCAGTCATTTCTTCGGTCCGGGATTGCATTACCTAGTGCCGCTGCAGCAGTACTACCTATGGCGCAACGGATGTCCCTCCAGCCATCTTCAAGAGAAGCTCTTCCGTGGGCAGTGCAACTTCCAGTTGCTGCGCATAGTCCTGGACAAATCCGGTGTTCCGTAGTTGCTCAATGTTGGGTCACGACGTTCGACTTCGACGGGTGTTATACACCGTCGAGAGTTTTGAGCGCATGCATACTGCAACTAGGTAGTGGTTCGAATCTCGCACCTCGCACCTCTTCACTTTGCTATTGCCGGACTGGCAACATTGCCCAGGCTACGCCACCCAGCTGTGTCCATGTTTCAGCTGGTAGTCTTTTGTTATCATATGACTCGGGGAGGCGTGAAGTAGGAACTTGTGAGGACCAGGGCTAGGTATTCCGCTCCTTCCAGGTTGTCAACTCACCATTTTGTAGCAGAATTTCAACTAGAATGGGGTACGGACCCGTTATCGTACCCGTAATCGTACCCGTACCCGTCCGTAATCGATTTGCTTGGAACCAATAGGCTAGTCAAGTAGTGAGCCAAACTAAAATCGTTAGTTTCCAGTTAGTAGTAGAACCGAAACCAGTGTTGTTTTCTGGATCTGCTGCTCCACTGAAAAGAATGTTTATCAAAATATGTGAAATAAATTGTTACAAACAAGAATTTACCTTCCATTTTGCGACACGAAATGATATTTCAGAATACTAATAATATTGTTGTGTAGTGTGGGTGCGTCATACCCTATACACACATGTACACATGTACATGCCACATGTTTTTTGTTGCAAGATGTATAATACAGCTCAATAACGAAGAAACAGAAAAATGGAGCACGCGTGCGCGTGTGTGTGTGTTGGTGTGCTTTGAAAAATGCATTGTGTATTGCTACAGCAGCGGAACCGGTGGTGTAGTGTTAAGCGTGATTACCTCTCACCCCAACAGGCCTGGGTTCAATCCCAGTCGGCGCCGCCCGATGTCAATTATACAAGGTCTGGCCCAAAAGGGTTATTGGTATTAGTGAAATGTGAAAATGTCTAGTGGTGGTCGTATTTCATAGCAATTTTTATCTTTTTACACGAAACAGCTGTTTTCTGTGACGACACGTCTGCTATTCGCAGTATGGAATGTTGTGCTGCCGTGACAACGGCATTCGCTTGCTCAGCAATGTCTACAACATTTTTGCTTCTAACACCAGCAAGCTGCATGTTGTTCCAGACCTTGTATGATTGACATCGAGCGCCGCCGGGATGTTCTGAGGCATGGCATCTCTGATCACGCCTTCCTCCAGCGGAGTAAAGCCGTTGGTCCCCGGTTTATGAGTTGATGGGTCAATAGGTGGGGTCCAGGTGTGGAAGCTGCCTGCCTGGCGTTGTTAGCATTGGTGCTCAGCATGGAAAACAAGATCGACGGAAAAAAAAAATCTAGGAAAAAACGCTTACTACAGTATACAGTGTGCAGACTATACAACTTAGATACGGATATTTTTCGAAGAACACTTCACTTGTTAATCCTAATTTCAACATAAAAAAAATAATCGCAAAACACATTAAATCCTATCTGAAAGTTAATTTTTTAAGATATTTTTTTGGTTACTAAAGGGCAGATGCTGAGATGAACCAGCGTCTGCCTGACCATCTCCTTAATAAAGACAACCAACCAACCAAGGGCAGATGTGTCCTTCACATGTTTTACTTAATCTAAATGTGAAAAAAAGTATGTTTTCATAATTTTTTTATTATGAACTGTCACTTAAAACAATGCAGATACCATTTTTTTTTTTTACTTTCCATTTCACGTGAAATAAGCCGAGGAACATTTCTTCTCAAGCAACCAAGTTGATATACACATTATTTAAGCAAAATAGTAACAACAGACGTTACAACGAAACGTCAAGTTTTTGAAAATTTCTGATAATGATACCCTAAAACAACCATAAAAAGATCTGTAATCAACAAAGCTGTTCAAATCAGTCAATTTAAGATACTCTTAACATGTAAAAATAATAAAAAAAATATTGAATAAAAAAATATCAACTTTCATTTTTGAGGTTTTGGTTAGCAGGGAACCACTGTGCAGGCGTCCGTAGCATTGGTACTCAGTACGGAAACAAGATAGACAGAATACAAATCAAGGAAAAAATAAAATGAATGTAAACTTCCCGCAACATACACACAAAATCACGGCCTCCCTGTTCGGTAATTTTTTACTGGGTTTTTGAACAGCTGAAAAAGTCAGTAAACTTAAAAAAATTGTAAAAAATTGTATAAAAGTGATTTTTTCTTGAAATTTATACAGACTGTGTTCTTATTACATTTATTTGATGATAAAAATAAAATATGTTAAAATTGTTCGTTGCATTACGTGTGACCGTTATTTTCAGTTTACTGACTTTTTCAGCTGTTTGAAAACCCAGTAAAAAATTACTGACCCCAGTAAAATAATCTCTGTGTGTACGTACAGATAGCGCATAAATGTATACAACTTAAGGGGGGAAGTACAATTAGAAGGCCTGAAATGAGGCCTATCTTTGAGAGTGGATTGCGAGTAGGGAAATAAATGAATGTTAGCGATTCTTTATGTATGTTATTGAGGATTTAATGAAGATTAATTATCAGTGACATTTTTTTAAATTTTGCAATTTAGCCCAATTATTATAAATAATGTGAAGTCAATTTTTTAAAGCAGCACTTCGCGCCGTGCAGTCCCTACGTCCATGATCACGTCTGAAACAAAAAAAAACAGGACATTAAATTTGACACACAACATGAATTAATTCGTATGTAAAAATAATGTTTTTTTCCCAAAAAATTTGAAGTTGGAAAAAAAAATTTAAAAAACTCTATTTTTTTCGACTTTGTTTATAGAAAAAAAAATGTTATAACAAACAAATCCAAAAAATCTTTCTATTCATGTTGTGGAGAATTTAATTATGAACATAAAACAGAAAACCGGAATCGATTTGAATGAAAACTCTGACCTGTACATTGCACGGCGATTTTGAAAACACTACTTTTCAGTAGAAGCATTTAAAGTTCAACTTTGACATGTATATGCTTTTAAAGGCTCATTCCCAGATACATATAGAGTAAATTAAGCCAACAAAACTTTTTTCGAAAAAAAAAAATTCTAATTGTATTTTCCCCCTTAAATAACATCTTGCAAAAAGCATAAGGCCGTGGCCAGGGTAGACGCGACACGCGACGCGATGCGATTCACGCAAGGAATAATAATAAATAATAAGATTCTTTTGAATTGGTCGCATCGCGAAACGCGTTTACCCTGGCCGCGGCCTATGGGTACGGCCAGGGTAGACGTGATTCGCGACGCGACGCGACCAATTCAAAAGAATCTTAGGCCGCGGCCAGAGTAGACGCGATTCGCGACGCGAATTATTATTCCTTGCGTGAGTCGCATCGCGTCGCGTCGCGTGTCACGTCTACCCTGGCCGCGGCCTTATTATTTATTATTATTCCTTGCGTGAGTCGCGTCGCGTGTCGCGTCTACCCTGGCCGTACCCTAACGCTTACGAGGCGGCGGAGCATATTACAAAGCGAAAAAGAAAAACGCTATTTTGAGAAGATTTTTTGAAAAATCATTTTTACGGTGATGAATGCATATTTTCACATGATGTTTTCGATAGCATCAAGTAGATTATTAAAACTAACGAATGCGCTGTAATAGAATGTTTATAGTGAATATCAATCATTTCATTAGGGAGCGCGTATTGCCTCACGTTTCCCTAATACCATTCGGTATAATGGCGTTTAGCCTAGCCAAAACATTCATCATTTAAAAATAAGTTTGACCCTCAATTAGAAACCTGGTTCATCGCATATATATAATAAAATAACAATAAGTCTCAAAATAGAGCTATTTCATATTAAGCCACCCCGCTGCGTGGACTAGATAATTATTTTTTTAGAATTGTTCAGTGAAAATCATACTCAAAAAATATTTGTTAAGGAAAAATGTATCCGATAGAACATTTTAAACTAGTCTCACTTGTTTAGTGGGGCATTGAAGATTTCGTTTCGTGGGTGTTTCAGCTATATTATTCTACCATGGTAGAATGTGAATGTTTACTCCTGAACAGCATGGGCATGAAACTATAGAATTTATTACCCCTGATGTATAACAAACCTGGTTCACATGCGTGCTCCAAATTTAGCGCGACTCGTAGATTATCACGCTCCAGATGCGTCTCGGAACTCTAATCCGACATCAGCATACTATAGTGTGAATTAAAGGAAATAAATAGCATCAAATTACTCACCGAGGCGAGAGTATGTATGTGTCACACTTTGCCAATTTTACGACGGATAATTTTCAGGAAGCGATTAATCGTTTTGCTGATGTATGTTCTACTGCTACATTTTTTTTTCATTCTGAATGATTGCCTTTGTCGCAGTGCAACACAAACCGTTGACCCCAACATATGAAGCGACCGACTAATCCTGTACCCGAGATCGAGAGCCGAAACTGCCCCGGGTGGACTGGAACCCCGGGACCAAAGAACGCCATCATGTGTAAACATCTAACACATAGCAATTAAACGGTCGATTGAGTTCTTAACAGGCTGTAAATAGCCGCACATAAGCGGCGACAAATTGATTAATCAGCGGTGGCCCAATGCTTTTATCCTGGTCGGTTGTGCTATAATTCCAGCTTTGACCACTATAGTTGAATACCAGCAACACCACCAACGGCATCAACGCTGGTATGATGGAAATTCTGGAATTTTCTGCTCCGTTGTCAATTAATTCAAACAACTTGCCTCTACTCATCCGGCTCGCAAGCGAAACAAGTGGATGATACCCAGAGCGATCAGCGTCTACTTCTGGTGCTTTGGTATGCGATGCTGAATCTGTTGGCATGCACATCAATTAAATTTTCTTCGGATGGTGGGTGGACCAGTGGTTGC